CAGAAGGGTTGGTGGCCCCCTCAGAGGCTGCAAGCCAACAGGAAGCCCCCAGAAAGCTCCAAGCTCAGACAGGAAGGAGCATTCTTTTCCATGCCAGCCAGGTGCCCAGCCTTCCTGCAGCGCCCCCTAACAGGGCAGCTGGCCAAGCTGAATCGAAGCCAGGTCTGTGTCACCATGGAACAGCAGCTCAGAGATGTAAGGATGGGCCCCAAGGTGGGACTAGAGCTTAAATGCTGACATGCAAGTGTCTACTAGTTAAAAAAGTCAGTGGCTCAGCAGTAAAGCACCTGTCTGGCAGGCATGAAGCCCTGGGTTCGAACCCCAGTACTGCCAATAAAAAAAGGTTGAAAAAAAAAAAAAAGGTTGAGTCAGGCACTGGTGGTTCACACCTGTAATCCTAGCTACTCAGGAAGCAGAGATCAGGAGGATCATGGTTTGAAGCCAACCCTCAGCAAATACTTTCCCAAGACTCTATCTCAAAAAAAACCATCACAAAAAGGTGTTGGCGAGGAGCTCAAGGTGTAGCCCTTAGGTCAAACCCCAGCACTGCAAAAATGAATAAATAAATAAATAAGATTGAAAAAAATCAAGACTACATTGCCTTGGAAGAGGTGAAGGCCAAGGGAAGGCTCTTAAAAGCCAGGCATAGGAGTTTCAATTTGGTTAGCCAGGAAATAGCAAGGCATCCAGTTTTGAGTTAGGAAAGTGACAGTGACTCAGGATCTTTCTGTCTTTTTGCTGCCACTTTTCTTTCTAAGCAGGCTTTAGGGTAGGCCTCGCACAACCACTTCTCCCAGACTGTACTGACAGCACCGGAAGGAGGCAGAGAAGGCAGAGGCTGTTGATGAGGCTAGTTATGAAGAGAAAAGCATCCTGCAGCAGGCAGATGGGAACGGGTGCATTTAAAACATCTGTACACTCTTCGTTATTCTCCATCATGAAGACTCAGATTCCCGCCCGCCTTGCAGGAAGGGTTGCTAACAGGGAAGCCAGTGAGAGGGAGGCTGTGTGGTCTCGCAGGCTAGGTCACATGAGGTAGTACAAAACAAAGTAACATGGCTTTCACCTGGTGCTTGCCTGAGACACCTTTGGGACCAGCAAACACAGGGAGAAAGCAGGGCCAGGACTGTGGTGTGGGGGGGACAATGGGACACTCATTTCACTTACAAATAAAAGGGGTGCCAAGATCTCTGTAACCAAGGTAAGCAACATTGTAAAGCAAATTCTATTTATTTGTGTGTGTGAGACACACACACACACACACACACACACACACACACACACACACACACACCAGGGATTGAGGATTTGTACATGCCAGGCATGCCCTCTACCACTGAGCAATGTCACCTGTAAAGCAGTATTTTTTAAAAAATCAAAATTAATGCAGAAAAAAACACGAAAAACCTTTTAAAAAGACTCCAACCCCGCCCTGCATGACTCTCCTAACTTGCTGTCAGACCCCAACTTTACTTACAATCTTGACACTGTTCATTGTATATTTTGCATTCATTCTGATTTTTTTAAAAATGCACCATACCACTATTTATCAGGTTTGTTGTGGCAGGGTAAATAACCCCTCAAAATTCAGGTGTACCCAGACCCCCGGAATGGGATTTACTTGGAAACCACACAGTATCACTGAATACAAGACCACACTGGATTAGCACGGTCAAATCCTTCCCAGGAGGGGGGCGGCCCTGCAGACACCTTGGCTTCACACTTCCAGTCTCCAGAGCTGTGAGAGAATAAATTTCCATCATTTTAAGCCACCCAATTTGCAGTACTTTGTTAGGGAAGCCTGAGGAGACTCATATGATCGCTGAGGTTATTTTTACACCATTTAAGTCCTTGCCTGGGGAGAGGTCTTGCTGTACCTCGCCCTGGTCTCAGCCCTGGTCAGGAGGCTTCTGGAGGAAATGAGCACGGGTGCAGCAGAGCGTCGGGAATTCACTAACACCTGACTCAGGGTAAAGCGTTTACAGAACCTTCTGCCTTTGGGAAAAGTACATTTTTTTGGTGGCGCTGAGCTTTGAAGTCAGGGCCTCGCACACGCTAGGCAGAAGCTCTATGGCTTGAGCCATGCCCCAGTGTAAAAGGACATTTCTTAAACACAGGGCTTTCTTTTAAATTTTTTATTACAATTAAAATTACACAAATGCAAATCAATTCATTTCGATCAAAATAACTCATGTTTACATATTTATAAAACAAGCTGTACAATAAAATACATAAAATGTTTTCTGCTTCAATCATCTTCTTCTTCCTCTTCATCACTGATCACATACTTCTTATGCTTTTTGTTTGCTTTATCCTCATCTTCTGCTTTTCTCTTTCCAGAAGGCTCACCTTCCTAAACATAGAATTTTTAAAAATCTAAAAGTCATTAGAGAACATTTCTAAGGTGGTTTATTAAAAGTAGCTCTGAGTTCACTGACCCTCTACAATCCAAGCTAGCCTCAAACTCGAGATGCTGGGATTACAGATGTGTGCCACCATGCCTGCGCTTGCTAGGCAGGTCCTCTACCACTTGAGCCAAGCCTCCAGCCCCCACAATAACTTTTAATAAGAGTTTTCAGCAGGGCTGGGGGTGTAGCTCAGTGGTACAGAGACTGACTAGTATGCTCTGGTTCTATCCCTGGGTTCAGTCCCCAGCACCACAAATTAATAACAATAATAAATAATAAATACACTAGATAAATGAAATCACTGGTCGAGTCGTGGTCTGTTTTCAAATATTCGTGCATTTGAGGCTTTTTTAAAATGGTGGTAGAGATTAAACCTAGAGGCAATTTAAAATGACAACTTTGCAGAGTTCATTAGAAGCTAGCTACAAAACCCCAACTTTACGTCCCAGCAAACTGCAAAGAAGTTGCTTACACGGAACCACTGCACAGAAAACTGGAAATGGGGTCTGCCCTGGGAAGGGTCAGGGCTCCCCCAGGAAGTTCCGCCTGTGTAAACAACCATGTGTCCTGACTGAGCAGTTCCACCACCAACCTTTGTTCTCTGTTCTTGCTGCATTTAACTCTTTTTATTATTTAAAATTAGTCATTTTAAAGATTTTTTTTTTTTGCAGCATTGGGTTTGAACCCAGGGCCTTGCACTTGCTAGGCAGGCGCTCTTACCACTTGAGCCACTCTGCCAGCCCAGACTGCCAATTTTTAAAGAATATATTTGTTTGTGATATATTAAAAACTCACATCATAAAACTTTTCAAGGAAATATTTGAAGAAATTAAAGACCTTCTCTACATGATCCCTCCATTTAAAATTACTCTGTGCAATTTTTCTAAGAGAAACAAATAATTCAGGAAGTTATCTAAGAAATGATTTTTACAGATAGAATTTAAACATAGAAACATTTAAGGGTTGGAGGCACAGTTCAAGCTGTAAAGTGCCTTTCTGGCAAGCTCTAGGCCCCAAGTTTAAACCCTGTTATTGCCAAAAATATATATGTATATATGCACATATCAACATTAAAATAATACCAAACACTGAGCCAAGTACTGGTGGCTCCTGCCTATAATCCTAGCTACTTGGTAGACTAAGACTGGGAGGATCTGGTTCAAGGCCAGCCCAGACAGCCCAGCAAATAGTTTGAGACCCTATCTCCAAAATAACCAGAGCACCATGGACTGGAGGCATAGCTCAAGCAGTACAGTGCCTGCTTTGCAAGTACAAAGCCCTAAATTCAAACCCCAGTCCCACAAAAAAAAAAATTTTTAAAAAGCTCATCACAATGAACAAACACTGAATACAACACTCCAGAATTGCCATTACCTAGCCTCACTAAAAATGAAATGGATGCACGAATGAGTTAAAGCTGGAGAGCTTGCTGGGACCACAGGATGCTTCCAGACGTAGATGCAAACTGGCAGTTTACAGCTTTTTTCCTGACAGTCCCCAGGGCTGGCCCCCTGAGGGAGAAGATAACATCCTGCTATGGAAGTACCACAACGAAACCCCTTTGTACAATTAATACATGTTAATTTTGTTTTTGGTGGCACTGGGGTTTGAACTCAGGGCCTCACACTTGCTAGGCAGGTGCTCTTACTGCTTGAACCCTAAAATACATGCTAATTTTAAAAAGTGAACATCTCACACCTGTTTCCTCCCTTGCTGTCCCAATTGTCTTCCCACAAACCTGGAGTGACACAGGAGGGCTCAAAGAGGAAGTTATGAATGTACAAAAGGGATCCAGAAGTCCTCCTCCATCTACATTCCAACTGGCAGCATCAAAGTGACTCCAATAGCGATACCAGAAGATCATGTTGCCCTTAAGATGTGACAAGTGCCTATCCTTTCCCACGGCCCAGCCTGGAACAAACCCAGCTACTTCTCTCCCACCCCACACCAGCAAAGGCAGACAGCACCTCCTGGCTTTCCATTTATGTTTAACTGAGGAATCTCGCAAACATTTTAATGCAAGCACTATTTTTTTGAACATGAGTGTGTTAGAACTGTGTCTTCAGCTCTAAAATTCTTTAAGGAGATGAAATTTGAGGGAACTGCATGGTACTTCTAAAACGTGGTACAGTCTGGCTTCAGTTGCTCACATCTGTAATCCTACTCAGGAGGCAGAGATCAGGAGGATAGCAGTTTGAAGCCAACAAGACCCTATCTCGAAAAACCCTTCACCAAAATAGGGCTGGTGGAGTGGCTCTAGGTGAAGTCCTGAGTTCAAGCCCCAGTACTGCAAAAAAAAAAAAAAACCAAAAAAAGGTAGTGCAGACGTCTTGAGGCCCTGGGACGGGGCCCAGCAGCAGCCAGGAAAGGGCTGGGCTTTCCCAAGAAGTCCAATCAGAACCAGTTCCGATCGCCTGGGGTGGAAGCTGCAATTCCACTTTGAAAATCTGCCACAACTGACTTCCTGGAAGCCCCATGGACTCCCAGCACTTAGAAAGATGTGGAATTTCCCAGGGTGACCTTCCTTTGTGAAAGTAGGCATGAGGACGCTGCCCCACTGAATGTAGCAGGACAATTCCTGTACCACGCACAAATGAAATGATGACAAAAACACTGAAGACTAAAACAAAGCTTGCTAATGAACAGAGTACAAGGTGGATGATGCAGCTGCCCAGAGGAAGAGCTGAGGGAGGAGAGACGGGAAGCAGGCATGAAACTAACTCCTACCCAGCCTTCTCAGCAGCTAAGCTCTTTGTTAAGAAGAGGCATGGTCTTCATGCCTTTCCACTGTCTCCATCCTTTCAACCTGGGCCTTTCCATTTCCCCAGTACCCTGGAAACAGAAGACCATTAGCTTAGGTTTTCTAAAGTGAGGGAGAATAAAAAGCTCTCTTTTCTGATAACTTAGATCTTGCTGAAGAAGGGACGGTAACACTTCCTGCCTAGGGACCTGTCACCATGTTTCCCAGGTTTGTCTCTGTTACTCACTATAATTTAATAACATTACCAGACAGCAAGCAGAAACCCCACAGGATACATGAGTAAAGAGACTCAGAAAAGTGAGCTGATTCACCCACCGGTGTAAAATAGGAAAGGGTAGCACCAAAAGTCAACACGCCAGCTCACTCTAATCCAGACTCACCCTTGCCGCATGCACACCAAGGTGTGCTTGTGCCATAACGTGGTTCTCTGGCATGGGAACCTGGGCTGTGAAAACTCCCCTGTACCTCAGAGACCTACCCAGGCTCCTGGCGTTTAGGTGGGTTTCGTGTGCAAAACACAGAAAGGGTCTGAGAGCAGGAAGGCCCCCTTTCTCTCTTCCACTGTCCAACTGCAGTGACAGAAGAAGAGGCAATGAGGAAGTTGGGAGGTCCAGGGAGAAGTAAAATCTGTGGTCCAGGAAGGAAGGGGACGGCAGGAAGACGTAGGAGGATATTTGGATGGGGAAGGAGTTGGGTGGGTTGTCCTGCAAATGGGAGGCCATTTGCAGGAGGCACTTTTTTTTTTTAATATATATTTTTTACATATGGAACGTTTCATGAATTTGTGTGTCATCCTTGCACAGGGGCCAGGCTCATTTTCTCTGTGTCATTCCAGTTTTAGCACATGTGCTGCTGAAGTGAGCACAGAAGGCACGTTTACGTCAGACAGTTACAATCGCCCAGCCAAGGAGACAAATATCTCATGTATCACATTTTTTGAAAAAAGAAAAAATGTCACTTGTGGGAATAAACAGAGTCCCGTGGCACCTCTCAATTTTCATTCACAGTTTCTGCGTGCCAAGAAATAAGCAACATCTGCTTAAACGAGGGCTGCTGGGCTGACACTCAATACTGCAAAAGCATCATCAAGACGCAACTCATGGGATTTCCAACGAGGGTGGTGCAGAAACAGGGAACATTCTGTCTGGCTATCCAGCACAGAGTGCCATTACCAGACAGCAAGCACAAACCCCATAGGATACATGAGTAAAGAGACTCAGAAAGGTGAGCTGATTCACCCATGGGTGTAAAATAGGAAAGGGTAGCACCAAAAGTCAACAACCCAGCTGACTCTAATCCAGACTCACCCTTGTCGCATGCACACCAAGGCGCAATCAACAACCTAAGAACAGAACTCTGTCACGCGAGAAAAGAGCTCATGAAACCCAAAATGATCTTTGGGTAAGAGGAACACAACGCCCATGTCCTGCAATATGGCAGAACAATGCGTTGAACAACCTTCTCACTGAAAATACAGCAAATTAATGTGGTAGCAAGAAAATAAAGTATAATCAGTGGCCAAAAATTAAGTGAAAGGAGAGTAGAGCACCGAGGCAGGCTTCCTCCCAAGGCAGGTGCGGGCTACAGAAACAGGAATGCTGGTGTTCATGCCTCGCAGGGTGGGGAGGACAGAAGACAAAGGCCGTATGGTCACCTCCTAACCATCACCTTGGGGGTCAGGATTACAGCATATGAATTATGGGACACAAACCTTCACATAGACCCCAACTATGCCTGCTGGCTCTGTCACAATACCTTATTTGTATGCATTCTGTGGTTAAATGACTGATTTCTGAGCTCCTATTAAAGAGAATTTCTGAGATCTGGATTGATGATTCCTCCAAAGATGGTCTTTATTGGCTTCTCCCAGGTTCCTTGGGCACACGACCGCCTGGGACCACTTTAAATTATATTTTCAGCATAAAGTCTTTTTAGATTACCTGAAAAGTAATGAGTACTGACTTGTAGTTATGAATTTGCCTGGAAATTTTTTGGTTTTGTTTTTAATCTTAAAACTGCCAATTAGTTAATAACATTTGAGATTAAAAATTGTTGCAGTCATTAGAAAAGAGGCACACAAACTGTATCTGATCTGAACTACAGCCTGTTGTTTTTTTAGTTTTGTTTTGTTTTTACAAGTGAAGTTTTATTGGAACCCACCCATGCTTATTCATTTAGGTATCATCCACAGCTGTTTCCTGCTACAGTGGCAAAGTTGAGTAGTTGCCACAGAAACCATACAGCTCCCAACATCTAGCTTTAAAAAGACTGCTGATTCCTTCTCAGAGAAATGGGATGAGGCTTATATCCTGGCCCACTTTACTCTAGAGATAGAGCCTCCAGGGTCTGCCGTCATGCACTCAGCTTGGCCTTTTTTGGGAGCCGTATGTGACCTTTTGGGAGATGAACAGGGCAGGAGGGCAGAGCCCTCCTGGATGGAATTAGTACTTTTACAAATATAGCCAGACAGACCTGCCTTATATTTTCCAGCATGTGAGGACAGTAGAGTGTTCTATGTGAACCAGGAGACAGACCTCTACAGAGGCTGGGGCCCTGATCTTGAATTTTAGCCTCCAGAGCCGGGAGAAATACATTTCTGATGTCTACCTGCCACTGGGACCATGGCACTTTGTTATAGCAGCCTAGATGGGAAGGCAGTAAACTCAGACATGTAAGGTTTCAGAGACTGGAATTACTAGAGGTAAAAGAACACGTGATGTTTAAAATGTTTAAACACATCAAAGAAGGAACTGAAAATCTGAGTAAGCAGCACTAGTTTTAAGAATCACTGATTTTAGGGGAGGCACTGGTGGCTTACACCTATAATCCTAGCTACTTGGGAGGCAGTGATCAGGAGGATCAAAAGTATCCAACACAAAACAGGGCTGGGGGAGTGGTTCAAGTGGTAGAGTGCTTGCCCAGCAAGCATGAGGCCCTGAGTTCAAACCCCAGAACTGCCAAAAAGATTCAAAAAAGAAACTAAACCTCCAAAGGAGAAAAAAAGCTTGACGAAAGAGATGAACATCAGACACTACTAAAGAAAGATGCAGTGAACTTGGAGGATCTGGAAACCTAGGAAGCAATTGAAGAAGCTGAGAAGGTGGGAGGACCATGAGACGACCCAGTGTAGAGAGAGCCGAGACTCACTGTATAGGCCCAAGGACACCACTGGAACAAACTCCAGGAAACACAGACAGGGGCCTTGTGAAACAAGTCGGTGAAGAACACTGGCCCTGTCTGCTCCAACTTGGCAGTCCCCCCAACACCCAGCCCACGGTCACCCAGATCTGCCAAGTGTGGTGCCACCAGTGGAGCAGATCCACCCCCCTGCTAACCCTCCCTCCCTCCTCAGCAGCACCAGGTACAGGATCCGCAAGGATGAGCCACCGGACCTGCACTACCTCCCAGCCTTCCCTAGGCGCTCCTGAGCCCCACACCCCAAACCTAAAGCAATACACTCAACAACCTCTCTCAACAACAAACTAACCCCCACAACAACCACAAGAATCAGCAAAATTGAAGACATTAATAGAGATTATGTAATCTAAAAACTGAGAAAATAGAACAAAGAAAGAGCAGAGCCTCAGAGAAATGTGAGACACATTAACCCCCCCCAACTTATACATAATAAGGATACACACACAAATAAAAAAGGGGCCAGGTACCGGTGGCTCACACCTGCAATTCTAGCTACTCAAGAGGCAGAGATCAGGAAGATCGAGGTTCAAAGGCCAGCCTGGCAAATAGTTCATGCGACCCTATATCGGAAAAAACCCCTTCACGATAAAGGGCTGGGGGAGTGGCTCACAACATAGAGCACCTGCCTAGCAAGCACGAAGCACTGAGTCAAACCCTAGTACCGCCAAAAACAAACAAATAAATAAATACCAAGAATAGACAGAAAGGAGAAATATCCTCTGAATGACTTATCACTGTCTAGATCAGTGTCCTGGAGCCCTGCTTCTTTTCTTGCCAGCCTCTCCATCTACCTGGAGTGACCTGGCAGAGAGTTTTCCTACAACTTTCTACTCATGCTTCAGTACCCAGCAGAGAGAGGTCTCCATGCAGCCTTCCAAGACCCACCACAGCACAGGCGTCAGACCCTCCCCTGGAACACTCCGACTCCTACTGCATTTGCCTTGCTGAATTTCAGGCAACCATGTAGCAATCTGCTTCTGGTCTGTGAGCTGGCTCCTGAGTGCGAGGTAAACCTCTGGCATTGGCTACATGTAGCTTACCTCATCACTGGTGAGTTTCTTTGCCTTGAGTAGCCTTTGAGCCTTATCTTCTTCTGATCCCTCATCACTGTCTGAGGAATAGATTCTGGCTCGTTCCTCTGGAAGCAAAGGAATTCACTGAGTTACTTTCAAAGACATGAGTGATCTGTTATTCACCCTTAGCTTTTTCCTTCTGATAAATATCTTCAGTTCCCTCCATACAATGAACCCAGAAAGACAAAGTAATTTTTAAAATTTTAATTTAAAGATAAAGTTTTAAGGCCAGAATGACAGTACTTGTAATCCCCACTACTTGGAAGTGGAAATAGGAGGATTAAGGTTCCAGGCAGCACAGGCAAAGTTAGCATGAGACCCTACCTGAAAAATAAACTAAAAGCAAAAGGACTATGAATGTGGTTTAAGTGGTAGAGTGCTTGCTGGTGCAAGGTCCTGAGTTCAAATCCCAGTACCACAAAAAAGAAAAAGAAAGTGAAGTCACTTACTGAAAGTGGATGAGTGATAAAAAAAAAAAAATGACAGTAGCTTCAGGTAACATTTATTTACTCCTTGTTATGGGTAAGGCCTGGGCCAAGTATTGTAAATGTACTACATCACTCAATCTTTGAAATAGCCTCATGCTCTAAGTACTATCAGCAATAAGATGGTTTTTTTTCCTAGATGAAGTTAAAAGAGGCATGGAACCTACAAAAGTCATTCAATTAGGGCTGGCTGAGTGGTTCAAGTGATAGAGCCCTAGCAAGCATGAGGCCCCAAGTTCAAACTCCAGTACTACCAGAAAGAAAAAAAAAGTCACTCGATTAAAAAGCAGCAGAGAAAGCACATTAGAAGCCTAGAGCAAGTCCCCAGAGTTCACTTTCCAGCATGTGGTCTTCCCACCGTCTGTGGGAACCTTGGGTGAGACCCCAGAAGATGCAGTATCGAAACAGATAAATATCTTAGAAGTCAGATGATCTTGGTTCAAGAATTTACCAACTACATGTCTCTAGAGAAGTGACTGAACCTCTCAAAGTTTCAGTTTCTGCAATAAGCATTAGGTCAATAATGGGAACTACATCAAATGCTGTTTAGAAACCAAATAAGATGTGGAGTGCTTGCCTGGGATTCAGAGGTGCTGAGTAAATGTCAACCATTAGGAATTACTGACACCATGAAAGGAGGACATCTGCAAAGGACAACTCAGAGAAAAGTCAAGGAGGAAGAATGAAAGAAAGCATCAGGTGTTCTCTGAATCATTTAATTTCATGATTCTCAGTTAGTAATAAAAAAAGTTGAGAAAAGTTCCAATACAACTGGTAAACTTTCAAGCCAGAGAAGGCTGAAGCTCAAGCGACGAACTGAGAGGGGAGAAATGGCAGTTCCCCTTCCAGCTGGCCCAATGGACTATTAAATGACCAGGCCACTGCACCCCGCTCTGGACACTCACTAACACTAGTTCTTTAGCTATAAACCATCCAGTGACTTGATGTTTGGATCAAGTTGCAGACTCACCTCGAATGCCCCCTTTGTACCGGTTTTTAATGGCTGCCAGGCTGATGGACTCCTCGCCTTCCTCCTCCTCATCATAGCGATCGGGCTCCAGGTAACTGGCACTCAGCCCCCGCTGGTGCTGCTTCTCTCTCATTCGGCGCTGCTGAGACTCCCTCCGGATGGAGGCCCGCAGACGCTCTTCTTCTTTCTGTAAAGAAGCAAATGACCTGCTTGTTATGGTTTCCATGTGGTCCCAGATTTCAGGTGTTGGAAATTTAATCCCCAAAGTCATACATTCTGGTATTTAACAGACCTTTGGAGGTGATAGGTGAAAGGATTAATCAAGGGTTAATTTGTGCATTAACAGTATGATGGGTGAGCACAGCAGTGGCCTGTCACAAAAGCAAGCTTTCTCTCTTGATGTCTTGCCATGTGATGCCCTCCACCATGCTGTGACGCAACAAGAAAGCCCTCACCAGATCACCAGATGCCAGTACCATGTGCTTGGGCTTCCTAGCCACAAGAACCTTAAGCTAAATTTCTTTCTTTCTCTCTTTTTTTTTTTTTTTTTTTTTTGAGACAGTGTCTCACTATGTAGCCCAGGCTGGCCTGGAACTTCCAATCCTCTTGCCTCAGTCTTCCAAGTGCTGGTTTACAGGTATGCACCACCACACACAGCTAAATTTCTCTTCTTTATATATTACCTAGTCTGTAGAATTCAGTTATAGCAATAGAAAACAGACTAAGACAATGTCCAACTTTTTAAAAGGAACACTTTTGAAAAAACCACAACAAAATGCACTACTTTTGTGTCCAGGTGAACCCACTTTTACTTTAAGGAACATGTAACTGCCTAGTGTGGGATAACATCTATCTTGTGTCTTTAGAGAGCATCTTCTCCTTCTACACCTCTGTAAGCACACACAGGTAAAGAGGCAGAGGAATTCCATCAACCAGCCCAATCAGAACTGGTACAGGCGTGGCCTGAGAGCTGTACTGTCCTCTGTGCTGCCACACACAGCTCACAGAGAAGTGACCAGCCAGAGAAACCCACCCATGTCCAGGGGACTCCTGAAAAGGGAAGCTGTCTCTATTCATCACTGAGCTCCAGACACCTGTCCTGCTCAGGGTCCACCAAACTCCCTTAGTTCTCACATACTCCTGTTCCAGCTCTCAAACCAAAGAGCTCCCCACAGCTCCTGACAACAGGTACCTGAGGCCTGATAGGGGAAGGTCCCCAAGCCACAAGGCAGAGCCTTCATTTCCTTACACCTGTTTGGCATTCCATACCTTGGGGTTCACACAGGAAATTGTCGGGGGAGGGTGAGGCCTGCTGGCATTTCTTTGAGAGTCTTCCTCATTCAATTACTTGGTATTGTCATACACAATTCCAGTTGTAATGCTAGAAATTCCGTGCAAAAGAGCGTTTTGTTAAGTAGTAAGTGGCTTTACTGAAGTCAGAGTAAACATCACTGTCAGAACAAACTAGCTGCTGGCTCCTTGTCCACATTTCCACAGAAGCTGGGGCAGTGGAGGAGGGTGTGGGGCTCTCGGAGTGATTCATAGGGCCATTCCAATAATGCTGAGACGAATCTGCAGGTTCCTACAGCTCTACCAGCCTGCACAGAAAAGGAGGGAACAGAGCAAGAAGCAAGGTCCCTGTGCACCACTGGGCTAGGCTCTGCTGCTCTGTCTAGTTAACCTGCCTCCATGACCAAAACATAGGATAGAGGAAAAAGCAGGTGCTCAGGGTCAAACCCTCATGAGAGCCTAACGAAGAGATTAGTAAGAAAGGCCCAGAGGCAAATGGACTGTCTTAGCCTCACCGTGTCCTGCTGTACTGAGGAATGTGATTACTCACATGAGGCAGGCCAGGTAATGTGGGGGATTAGATGGAGAGAAAATACAATGGAGCTGCGCTGCTTTATTCTGCTTCTTGGAAGACCACTCACATCAGTAAAGCATACGCTATATACTCTAGGAACAACGCCCCAGAATTCAATCTGTGCCTAATTAGCAGTTATCAATTGACCTTAATAAAACACATAACCAGCCCGTTGTAACTCAGTGGTAGAGTATCTATCTAGCATGCATAAGACCCTGGGTTCAATCCCCAATACCACAAAACAAAAAACACACTACCTGGTCTTACTCTGCTAGATTCTACTGTATGCACTCTCCCATTCAAACTGCTGGTCTATTTTCTCTCTCAAACTAAATCTCTAGAATTTCCACTGCTTTTTCACATGGATTCTATATCAAATGTAGATGACTTAATGATGTTTGAAATTATTTGTGAGGGCTGGGAATGTAGCTCAGTGGTTAAGTGTTTGCCTAGCATGGACAAGGCCCTGGGTTCAATTCTCAGTGCTGAAAAAAAAAAAAGAACGAAATTATTTGTGAAATTTCAGAAATTTCAATCACCAGTTTTGTAGTTGAACTCCCAGGTCCTGGTGGGAGAGAATCCAAGCCTTTTTGTCTATTTTACCATCAATGCTACATCACTCCTTGTTTGACAAGTACTTAGGAAATTAACCCAACTCCACAGTCATGTCAGTTGGAAGGGGAAGAAATGGACCACTAAGAGACAAGAAACATATATTTTTAAAAAGTGCGGGATAAAGCTTAGCGAATGTACCTTAATCATTTCTGTGCGCTGGCATTCAGGATCACGACCAGCCATTGGTAAGATTCGAATCTTCTGAGTCTTTGAACATCTATCTGCAAGTGACAGTGTCATCTTTCTATGTGTGGCACTGTCTGTAGAGTGAGGTCTGCCAGGAGATGAACACAAAATGTCTGTTTACCAAATACATTTGTCAGCCAGTCATTCCCACATCACAAAAACAAGACTAGGTGGAGGATCATGAACTTTCTTCATTCTACAGCTCAAGAGACTTTCTTTTCTCATGAAAGTGAAAAACAGAATGCTAAGGTTAAAAAGGCTTTGTATAGCATGATCACCTTCTAGAAGCAGAAAATGGACAGGCTCAAAGAGCATTAGTTGGACCCCAGGTGCCAGATGCAAGCTTTGTTCACAAGATATTTGACTTAGTTGTCACAGCTGACCTACGAGATAATCACTACATTTTCTAGATTAGGAAACGAAAGTTGTACAAGGTCACACAGTGGAAATGGAATTCAACTAGAGCTTCATCTGATTCCAAAGCCCGTACTTTGACAATTACAATTCTCAAAAAGCTAGGTCATAACCAACATTACTGTGCCTCTCTAAAGGTAGCATTTTTCTAACGGCCTCCTATAACTAAGGAAAAGCAAACACAGCCTCTCAGTGCGACACCTCCAGTCTAGAGAAGGGCGATACCTCCCCACCTGCCCTGGCGCACTGGTCTGCTTCAGGGTCACATCCCTGCAGGAAAACTGAACTCACAGCACAAGTCAATGAGATGACCCCAGTCCTAACAGCCACCTGCCTCTCCTGATTACACCCACACTGTCACACCCTAGTTATCAGCCTCCCAGACCACTTTTACTGAAAAGAAAGGGCACGATGACCAGCAGAGACAAGGATTTTAGGCCTCTTTGCAGTTATAATAATCAGTGGAATTACCTGACATTCTGGTTTATGTAACAGTCTCACCTAAGTCAGGTTAACATGACCTGGTACCTGAGAAAGCAACTTTTTGTGTACTTGACAAAACAGCCTTTGAGAACTAGATCTTGTCCTTGGTGAACTATATTGAGGGGTTACACCAACCAGGAATCACACATTACAGAACATATTTCCAAATAGTACATTAATAAGAATAGTTACCTAAAGGTGAGTTTCGTTTTAAAGACGGCTTGTCCCTGCAGACCAGTACCTTGTCTTATAAAAAGATGATTGTGGTCGCCCTGCAGTGGGGCTTTGTACACATCAAACACTTCATTTCCTAAATGCAGGGACATGCTGGAGAGAAGAAACACTTCACATATTAAAGTCAAAAAGCTTTCACGCCCACTGAAAATGTGAACCAACTGCTGCTTTCTCTCTTTACCCAGAATTCAGAAGGACAAAAGAGAATAAAGAAGTTATGATGAGAAAAACTGACTAAATAGAAGTAATACCTGTGGTGACATCTGCTTGGCCTCTATGTTACTGGTGAAAGACAATATTCCTAAAATGTCAAATTGTAAGTACTATGCATGTGGTCAAGAGAGTGGTCTAACTTTTCCAAACTAATATGTTATAGCTAAAGAGGATGAAGACCACATTTTGGCAACTTTGATGTCGCCCACCAACTAACATTTCTCTCAGGTTTTCTATGCAATCACAGAGAGTAATTAATGGAAACCCATCCCCCACCCCCATGGTCCTAGTCCATAACTTGCTCCCTCTTAACCCATTCTGGGTATTTCAGTACTCTTCAGGTTGCTGTGCTCACCTTCCATCTGACCACTTGACTATCCGAGCATTGCTCTCTTTAATTTCATTTCCTTCTTCATCCCGGCGTATCCTCCATCGGATGGTATTTTCTACCTGTTTTAAAAACACAAGTACCTTAGGAAATTGTAGTTTGACTCTATACCTTTTTTCCTCAAGAGGCACATAATCACAGAATAAGCATCACAGGCAAGTGACAGAAAAATAGACAACACTGAACCCCTCTTACTTTAATCACCTAGAGATATTGAATAAACTAAGAACAGAGAAAAAAATATGCTTAAGTGAATGCCTGTGCTCCTAGCATCAGAATCATAAAGGAAATTCAGTGCCAGAATATTGGAGCAGATACTCAATCTGTAGTGGCCCTGGGATGTTGGAAGATAAATAAGAGGTCCAGACATGGTTGTGTATGTCTGTAAGGAGGCAGAGATCAGAAGGGGCACAGTCTGACCCGTCTAGAGAATAAAGCAAAAAAGTATGAGGTTCAAGTGGTAGAGTGCCCACCTAGCAAGCACAGGGCCTGAGTTTAAACCCCAGTACTATCAAAAGAAGAAAGAAAAGAAAAAGATACAATAAGAGCTTTGAGGGACATGAGAGATAAAAGCTTGAGCCTATGAGGTAGAACTAAGACTCTTATGTAATCCTCACACCCTGTAAAAGTGGGACCAAAACACTGCCTACTATCCCAGTACATAGGGAAGTTTGTCACATATAGGGCAGTATAAAGAAGTATCCATGAAAATCAAAGTCCCAGGTTTAAATAGGTTTACATCTTAACTTCGTATTACCTGCATGGTGGAGAAATGCTAGACAGATTTAGAAAATGAGGACCATTGTTAATGAATTTGAAAATTCACTGGGTCCTCCAGGGACATATAGCACAGTAACTGCAGGCCATTCATCACTGCTGCATCCTGGAAACCCACTAAAATGAGACTAAAGAATAAAGAAGGAAAACACTAGCAAGATGAAAAGAATGAGAATGAAGACAGCAACGAGAAGAAGCCAACATTTGGAAAAGTCACTGACAAGCCTAAGTAGGGCGGAAGACCCTGCTGCTCCATCAGTCCTAAAAGCGCCTGCTCCCGCTCCCCCTTAGGTTTTGTATCTCCACATTGTTAGCTGCTAATGTCTTTGCAACTGGGTCCTAAAGATTTGCATCTAATTGTCCCCTTTATTTATTCCTTACTAAATAAGCAATAATAAAACCAGCTGATTAAAAAAGCTCAGTAAAACGGAACAGTGCAAGTGTGGAGCACCTGCCTAGCTAAGCTTGAGGCGCTGAGTTCAAACCCCAGTACCACAAAAAACAAACAAAAAAACCCACCTTAGTTATATGCATGAATTAAGTATGATGCCATGGGCTACAGGTGTGTCTCAATTGGTAGAGCACTGGCCTAGCAAGTGTGAAGCCCTGAGTTCAACCCCCAGTACCACCCAAAAAAAGAAAGAAAAAAAATTAAAAAGAGCAGTCTATAATAAACATTTTGTACTCTGCAACAAAATGTTGATGTCTGAACTCTGATGCCTATACAGAAGTATATAATAGATATATTGATACATGCTATTACACTATAACAGAGTATATAAAAAAAGCAAAAATAAACAAGTTGATAAAAAGTAAATAAAGAAGGAACTACCACAGTAATTAACATGTATGATAGAAACAATGAAAAGCAGTAGAATAAGGCCAGAGGCATTAAAGCAGCCAAAGAAATTAATTCTTCTACCCTAAATCAACACATACACATGTTCCAAGGAAATAATATTAACAGGTAAGTCAATGGTACAGAGAGAACAGTGTCAAACGAAAACACAGTCCACATACTGTACCTATGAATTCTGTGATCTTGAGCAAATTATTGGCATTTGTTCACCTCCATTTTCTTACTAGATTAGCATTCCCACTAAAAAGAGGAATAATCAAGTCTCACTGAAGAGCTTGGGGAGCCAATGCCTTTGGGTAGAAACCATCTTTCCTCAAGGTTATTTAGGTACTTGTGGATTTACCACATATGAAGAAGATGTTTCTATTGGAAATATATAAAAATTCAGCCCCTGATTCTAAAAATGTTAGACTGCTCCTTCTTAACACTATGATTCTATGCACAGTATCCACTGGAAAAGAATTTATGAGAAACTCTTGGATTTGAATTTTTTTTTAATGCAGAGTTCCATTTTCAGTATCATGGGTTCAACTGCCTCTTGTTCCTTGGTACAACTCAGCTCTAACACATCTGTTTAACCTCCATTCTCCTTACTTACTTAAAAGAAGATTAGAAGCTGCATATTCCTATGGCTTCTCACAACCCTGTGGACAATAACTAAGGAGACCATTCAGGGAATGACGATGGAAAAAATATAAACATCAGAGGCCTTCCTGGGATTAAGAAACCAGAGTACAAGGTATCAAAGAGGAGCATGCACAGGAATTTAGTACAACAGAATTCTCTCCTAACAGTCAAGAAGAGTAGTTCAAAGAACACAAAGAAGAGAGCTATAGAGTGAGGTTTGAGGCGCTAGTAATAAGTTTTTCCTTTTGCACATGAATTATCTATAAAGAACCTGAAGGACTTACTCTTTAGGAATTTGTTAAAACTTTCACCCACAGTACATATGAAGGCAGTTCTAAATACCTGACTACAGTACTCTTACTCTGAAGGAAGTAGCCATCACTCTTTTAGAAGTAGCAAGAAAGTATTGATAGCCAGAAAACACAGAAATGATGTTTTTATAGAGAAAAGGCTACATTTTCTTCCTTAAAAATATTTCAGATTGTAAAAGACCACGGGTATGATCTTTAGCCAGCACTGCAAAAATAAACACATACATAAAATAAAATAAAATTCTGGGGCTGAGGTTGTAGCTCCATAGCACAACGCATGCTTAGCACATGGGAGGCCCTGGGTTGATCACTAGCATTAAAAAACAAAAAAAATCTGAAAAGGTAGATAATTCATTTGGTTGACAGAAAAGGAAACATCAAAAATCATTTTCAAAAGCTCAAGTCTCAAGTTAGTATCCCTAGGGTTTTTAGATATAAAAGTAAGAAGAAGTAAAGCTGGAGTGGTACCTTTAATTTTAACCTCGTTCTACCTTCTTCATCCAGCATTTCCTCATCTTCAAATTCATCTTCATAATACTGAGGGTCAAAAGGTCTACAAATTGTTTTTAAAGTAAACTATTAATCATGTTTTATAAAGACTATCACTATTACATAATTACAGATCTCAATATACAGCACTGTGTCAAAAATCATAGCATAAGCCAGATGCCAGTGGCTCACACCTGTAATCCCAGCTACTTGGGAGGCTGAGATTGGGAGGATTACAGTTCAAGGCCAGCTGGGCCAAATAGTTCCCAAGACCCCGTCTCCAAAATAATCAGAGCAGAATGGACTGAAGGTGGCTCAAGAGGTAGAGTGCCAGCTTTGCAAACGCTACTTTGCAAGCATGAAGCCCTAAGTTCAAACCCCAGTCTCATCAAAAAAAAAATTTCATAGCATAATTTTAAAAATCACAATGTATTATGTGTGTGTGTGTGTGTGTGTGTGTGTGTCTCTTCCAAAACAGGACACATGTGTCCTAGCTCAGAGAGTTAACTTAGTAAATAATACCAATCAGCACTGTTTATTGAGCAAAACAAAGCCATCACTTTTCTAGACGAACAATGGCTGTTGCAAGGACATCTGCAGGGTCTCCAGCAATTTCACCACTCTCAACATCAGCATTTTTAACTAGCTACACAAGTTAATGAATGTTTTGAAGATTTTTGCTCTGTTAATTTCTATGAGAGCATGAAAGTCTCCCTTAACAGTAGTTCATACTTTCCTATCGCACGATTGATTTGATATATTTTATTCAGAAACACACAACCAATTTTTCCATTTCTGTGATTAGTCAACTCAATGTAAAGTAAGAAAAATATCAACATTCCACAAATTTCTACTCAACATCCAGAAAACTTTTCAATTGCTTCCTTACCTGGGCTCTACACTGAGAAAGTTGGGCAGTTTAACGAAATATAGGTCATTTCCTAAATCAGTGTTTACTTTAGGTATTTCTACTTCTATTCGGGTCTCAGGAATTGGCTCCTCCTCCTGCTGATCCTGAGGCAAGCCATTTCCATCCTAGAGAAGAGTCACAGGATTTTAGAGCGTTTTGGGACCTCAGTAATGCCTAGTTCCACCTCCACACTTCACTCAGGTGGGCAAGAAACACTTAGACATCACCTTGAGGCTCAATCAATCTTCAAACCCCATCACTACTCAACTACCTCCAAAACAGCTCAAGCTTGAATACATTAGACAATACCGTATCTCTTTTCTGAGAAGTCTACCTTCCAAATATTCATCAACAAAAGTATGAAATTAATCAACACTTCAGTATGAAGCCACTTTACAATCCACATAAGAGCATGAACACAGCACACACTTCTTTGCATGAACAAGAAAACCAATTTAGTCAATTGTTCTGAAACCACAGTCTTGCTCTCCTTCCACCCGAGGCATGTGACCATCACCACCTCATGCTGAGTAGTTATTTCTACACCCGCTTAGAGGCTGGAGGTGTGGTTGAAGGGGTAGCGTGCCTGCCCAGGAAGCACAAGGTCCTGAGTTCAATCCCCAGGACCACAAAAAAAAAAAAAGACAATCTACTCTACTGAGAAGCAAGAGTTTCCTACGGAATTAAGAAAGTTGCTTGTTTATTGTATTTTTATACTGCAATTCAGTTACTGACTTCCTTCATCTCTGAAACTTTTTACCATGCTTTGTCTAAGAGTCCCCTTTCCCACTGGTAATTTTACTTACCACAGGTTGTCCTGGAGTAGGTGGTTTATCTTCTCCATCACTCCCTGAAGATATGTCATCTGCACCTCCAAACAGATCCATGGTTCCACTATTATCTTCAATGCAGGAAGAGAAATGCACAGTATTAATGTCTAAGAGTCTTCAAAGTTGAACACTTTACCCTATCACTAAGGTTTCTAGACCAGCAAGAAGACCACCAAGAATACAACCCTACAACTGGCTCTCAGATTCCTGCCTCGCACATGTATGAGGAGGCAGCGCTGCACAGGAGGTTCTTCTTTCCTCTTTCATTTCTGGCATCTTTGTTCCTGTGCTTTCCTTTATTCCCCAGGAGCCCACTTGTTTCCTCCAGTGCACACACTCAAAGATGGGCTTATACACTCCATACAGGCCTTCTCTACATGCATCCTCAAGCTTCAAAATTACAAATCCAAGTCTACGCTGTCAACACAGGCAACAACAACAGTCTATACAAGCCAATAAACCAAGGTGGAGTGCTACAAATATACAAACACAAACACAGAAGGGTGGTCAGAAAGCAGACTGCTTAAATTGAGACCACAGAAGTTACAATTATTGGTAATAACATGGTGTAGGATAAAACTATAACAGCTTGTTACTCAGACAGAGTGGTGGGCAAAACCAGTGAAAAAGAAGAGGCAAAAAAGGCCAGGTTACTAAACATCATCTACATGATCAACCAACAGAACTAAACCCTCCCAAACCACTTTTGTGTACCTTCTTGATTACCTTCTTCTTAGTTCATTGTGGTTTTATGTTTTGGTTTTGCTAGTACTGGGGTTTGAATTCGGGGCCTTGTGCTTACTATGGCAGGCACTCTACCACTTGAGCCATACCCCCAGCCCTTGCTGTAATTGTTTTGTTTTGTTTTTTCTTTGTGGTACTGGGGCTTGAACTCAAGGCCTATACCTTGAGTCACTCCACCAGCCCTTTTTTGTGATGGGTTTTTCAAGATAGGGTCTCACAAACTATTTGCCTGGAGTAGTTTTGAACTGCGATCCTCCTGATCTCTGCCTTCTGAGTAGCTAGGATTACAGGCGTGAGCCACCAGTGCCCAGATTGCTATAACTTTTATACTAACACCTTCACTGCACAGTTCTTTGCTATTTACAAACAGGTATGCACATAGATGAACAGGAATATTCCTTTCATCTCTACAACAAACAAACTTAACACCAGGTTTTTTATGAATTCTTCAACTAATCCATAACTTGAAGTACCAGTTTCTTCATCTGATATTAACTTGTTAAGAACGTGAGAACAAGATACCCTGGGACTGTCATTATCAAACTGAAGCATGGACATCGTCACTTCCATCCCAACTGGAGGCTCATCCCTCAAATAATGGATCCACTCTTAACGATACACAAAGAAGCAGGTTCTTCTTCAACTGATGCAGCACAAGCAGTTTCTCCTCTCTGCACAACTCTGAGTACACTGAGTGTACACATTACACTTCTGTGGGTCATGCATTCTGGGTTTTCCTCATGCATGTTTGGGAGTACATGACATTTAAATATAGAAAGAGATATGAAAATATGCATCGTATAAGAAATAAAAGGGCTACCTTTTGGCACTTCAGTGTCACTATCTGCTTCTGAATCAGATGCAATTGTGTTCTTGCGTTTCATCCGTAAGACTTCATCTTCACTGTCACTGCCTCTTGCAGATTCTAAAAGAGTAGAATAACAAGTTCTGTGTAATTGCAGTTACATCATAGCTTTGAATTTTATGCTTTAAAAGTAATACTGAAGAAGAACTGGGATACCTCCATACAATGCAGTACCACTCAGCAATACATAGGAAAGAACTATTGACACATTGAACCATTTGGATGAATCTAAAATGCATTGTGCTAAGTGAAAGAAGCCAATCTAGTCAGGCATCGTGGCACACACCTGCAATCCCAGCACTTAAGAGGAGAGAGGAGAATCACGAGTTCAAGGCCAGCCTGGACTACATAATGAAACTCTGGCTCAAAAAAAAAAAAAAAAAAAAAGTGCAGGAAAGGAAGAAGTAGCCAATCTGAAAGGCTACATACTTACTGTATGAGTCCATTTATATAATATTCTCCAAGATATAAGTACAGTGGAAGAATGGATCAGAGGTGCAAGGGTTGGAGTGAGGAAGGATGTGACCACAAAAGGGACAGTATGACAGAGTTTTTTAGGGTAACAGACCATGCTGCATCCTGTGGTGGCAGTTACACAAATCTATATATGTGTTAATGCTAATAAAACCATACACAGAGATTTTTAAAGAGGCTAGGGGTGTAGCTCAGTGATAGAGTGCTTGCCTTGTCAAGGCCCTGGGTTCCATCCTGTATACCACAGGGAAAACAAAAATTGCAATAAACAGACAGGAAAAAAAAAAATCAACTTTACTGCATATTAATTTAAAAAATCAACTTTACTGTATATTAATTTTAAAAATCAACTTTATTGTATATTAATTTTAAAAAAGTCACTGGGCACAGTAGTTCATGTGTCCCCAGGACTTGGGAGGCTAAGGCAAGAGCATCACAGGCCTAGAATACATAGCAAGATCCTGTCTCTAAAATAAAATGAAGACAAAATTTAGAAAAGGAACACTGATAGAAATGAGAAAAGTAGTACTAAAACTTTTGATCAAATTTATATATGGCACTTTATAAAAGAAAAAAGGTAAAATTTATGGAAAGAAAGAGACAAACTATTTTTACCTAAAAACTTCATGAAAATCACTGGACACTGGTGACTTACACCTGTAATCCTAGCTACTCAGGAGGCAGAGATCCGGAGGATTGCGGTTTGAAGTCCTCCTGGGCAAACAGTTCATGAGAACCTATCTCAAAAATACCTAACACAAAAAGGGCTGGTGGAGTGGCTCAAGGAGTAGGCTCTGAGTTCAAGCCCCATTACGCAAAAAAAAAAAAAAAAAAAAAAAAAACCTTCCTGAAAGTCCAAAAGTTAGCAGGATGACAGCTCCAAGATTCTCCACTATGATCCCAATCGTGAGTCAGTGTGGCAGTACTGGGCAATCAGATCCTTAAAGATTCTGATTATAGTACAAATAGTCTTACTTTGAACTACTGCAGGTCTCTGCAGGTCTGTATCTATCTCTGGATATTCTACCCTCCTTTCCTAAAAATACCAAAATGTGGTTGGGACTGCTATCCTGTGAGGTTATAGGGAAAATATTCCACCATATTTAAGCTCTGTAAGAAAACAGGATGGAATGTAAATAATGTAGATAACCATCTATAGAAAGGAATCAACCCAAATGTTACTTCAGAAAACTTCAACCACTAGCGGTATGGCTCTAGCAGTAGAGCAGCTACCTAGCAAGCTCAAAGCCACAAGTTCAAAGCCCAGTGCAGCCAAAAAAAAAGCTATTTAAAATAATAAAAAAAATAGAAAGACTTCAACCTAATTAAGGTGACTTTCATACAATACAGAGAAAGGTGATTCCTAAAATTTTTAATATCCTGTGTGAAGGATTGTTGACTTAAGCAGAATTATCTCAGTGTCAATTTCAATAGGGGACCCAGAAGCAAGAGGTAGGCTGTGTGTTTCCTGTAGTCTTTAGGGAATGGGTGCCTGACCCAAGCTCATCTCCACAGGGTGGGGACACACATGACAACCTGTCACCACACAGTTCCACTGTCCACATTTGTGTTTTCTACATGTAATGCTCCCTGGGCAACTCCTGATTAGTGTTGATTTGCACCCAGAGAAATACAAGGATAAGTGAGAAAAAAACAATTCCCTGAAACAAGTAACTTTGCAATTCAATTTTTATACATTAGTTTATTATAAATTTGATTAATGTGAGCCTAATCACCTCTGGATCTCCAAAAGCTAAGTTGAACATAATGCCCACACCTTAAGTATGACCCTGTGGGGATATTTCACAAGCATCAATTTTCTCCAGGTCAGTCTGTTCTCACACGAAGTGTGCTCCATGGTCACCACGAAAATGGAACCAAGTCAGTTCATTATGTAGCTCCTCTAGCACTACACGTCTTGTTTTCTAAGACTGTCCTTGATGGGGTTTCGTTTTCCTTTTGAGGTGCTGGGGATTGAACCCAGGGCCTCACATGTGCTAGTTAAGTGCTCTACCACTGCCTCACACCCTCAGCCCAGGACTGTCCTCTTTAATCTTTTTTTCTCTGCTCTATCATCAATGAATCAATGGAAAGAGAAGACATAGAAAGAAATAATAGGAAGATTTAGAAGAAGAAAAATGTACAGTTAGAAAAGTCGAAATGGAGGGACAGAAGAGAAAAAAATAAAAATGGGTGACAAAGGTGGAAATGATAAGGCATTGGGCCCATATTGAATCAATGCTCTTATGAAACCACTTGGGACCCCTAAACATCCCACCTGATTTGTGGTCCTGGTCCTCTTCGTCATCTGAGTGCCTCCGGTCTTCGTCTGAGGCCTGAGGCCTTTCATCATCAGAGTTTTGCATTTTCTCTTCATCAGACACCTGTGGTCGCTCATCGTCATCAGAATTCTGCTTCTCATCGTCATTATCTGAGGCTGCCGGCCGCTCATCATCAGAGTTGGCCTTTTCCTCTTCAGACAGCTGCTGCCTGTCCTCATCATCTGTGTTCTGCATTTTCTCCTCATCGTCTGAGTTCTGCAGCTTTTCCTCGTCAGACTGGTCACTTTTCTCTTCTCGGTCCCACTTTTCGTCATCCGAAGGTGCTTTTTCGGAACCTTCTGCCTCTGAGTGATGGCTCCCTCCATCCGATCTGTGACCTTCGTCCTCATCATCGTTATGGACCTCTGACCCGCTGTGCTGATCAACATCAGAGCCATCGTTATCTTCATGCTCAGAAGGCTCAGAAGCTTCTGATCTGTTGTCCGATCTTTCAGAGCGATTGTCACTGCCACTGTGACGAGAAGCTCCCTCATCCTCACTGTCATCTCCAAAGAGCTCCTTATTACTTGGCTGTTCAGAATCACCTCTTTCGTCTTGGTCACTTTCGCTTCCAGAGGCATTACTGGAATGGCCAGAAGCAACATTTTCCTGATCAGAATCCGAGTCAGATCCAGAGTCAGAATCTATGAGAGCATACAAACAGGTGACATCAGCAAAGAAAGTCACAGTAAAGAACTCCCACAGTCCATCCCAGTTTAAGAGCAAACACAAAACTGGCAAAAACTATTAGAATCACTTTCTCAATACTCTGGACACTGAACAAAAGTTGCAATAACCAGGGGAATGATTTAAGAACAACTGGCTGAATCTCAGTATGAAAACAGAACTCAAACTCAAATAAATCGCCTGGTGCCAGTGGCTCATGCCTGCAATCCTAGCTACTCAGTAGGCAGAAGTCAGGTAGGATCGTGGTTGGAAGCCAGTCTGCCAGCCCAGAAAATAGTTACATAAGACCCTATATCAAAAAAACCTATCAAATGGTCTCTAAACTGAAGACTACCCACAGAGTGGGAGAAAATATTTGCCAGCTACACATCAGACAAAGGACTGATAACCAGAATATATAGGGAACTCAAGAAACTAAATTCTCCCAAAATTAATGAACCAATAAAGAAATGGGCAAGTGAACAAAACAGAACTTTCTCAAAAGAAGAAATTCAAATGGCCAAAAAACACATGAAAAAATGCTCACCATCTCTAGCAATAAAGGAAATGCAAATTAAAACCACACTAAGATTCCACCTCACCCCTGTTAGAATAGCCATCATTAGCAACAGCACCAACCACAGGTGTTGGTGAGGATGGGGGGGATGGGGGGAAGGAACCCTCCTACATTGCTGGTGGGAATATAAACTAGTACAACCACTCTGGAAAAAAATTTGGAGGCTACTTAAAAATCTAAACATTGATCTACCATATGATCCAGCAATACCACTCTTGGGGATATACCCAAAAGACTGTGACACAGGTTACTCCAGAGGCACCTGCACACCCATGTTTTTTGCAGCACTATTCACAATAGTCAAGTTATGGAAACAGCCCAGATGCCCCACTACTGACGAATGGATTAAGAAAATGTGGTATTTATACACAATGGAATTTTATGCAGCCATGAAGAAGAACGAAATGTTATCATTCGCTGGTAAATGGATGGAATTGGAGAACATCATTCCGAGTGAGTTTAGCCTGGCCCAAAAGACCAAAAATCGTATGTTCTCCCTCATATGTGGACATTAGATCAAGGGCAAACACAACAAGGGGCTTGGACTTTGAGCACATGATAAAAGCGAGAGCACACAAGGGAGGGGTGAGGATAGGTAAGACACCTAAAAAACTAGCTAGCATTTGTTGCCCTTAACGCAGAGAAACTAAAGCAGATACTTTAAAGCAACTGAGGCCAATAGGAGAAGGGGACCAGGAATTAAAGAAAAGGTTAGTTAAAGAAGAATTAACTTAGAAGGTAACACACATACACAGGAAATCAATGCGAGTCAACTCCCTATATAGCTGTCCTTATCTCAACTAGCAAAACCCTTGGTCCTTCCTATTATTGCTTATACTCTCTCTTCAACAAAATTAGAGATAAGGGCAAAATAGTTTCTGCCTGGTAGCGAGGGGTAAGGGGGGGTAAGGGGGAGGGAGAAATGACCCAAACATTGTATGCACATATGAATAAAATAAAAATTAAAAAAAAGAAAAAACCTATCATAAAAAAGGGTTAGTGAAGTGGCTCAAGGTGTAGGCCCTGAGTTCAAGACCCAGTACAGCAAAAAGGGGGGAAAATAAAAAAAAAAAAAAAAACAAACAAAAAGAACTCTTGGTGTCTTAGCTCCCATCTTCCAGTCCCTAGTTTAACCACTGCCTTCAAGATAACACCTTTCTGTACAGGTGTCACTAATAGAGAGAGCAGAATGAGAAAATGAAGAAAAATTAACAGAGCCCCAAATATAGGTAGGAAAAAATTGTACAAGGACACCAACTTTATCAACATATGCAGGGAGTCCTGGGAAAAAAGAAACCAGAAAGAACATTGAAATAAATAATGGCTGAGCTGGCAGAGTGGCTCAAGTGGTAAAGTAACTGCCTAGCAAGTGTGAGGCCCTGAGTTCAAACCCCAGGACCACCAAGAAAAAAAAAGGCTGAAAACTTCCCAAATTTGTTGAAAACATGAGTCTACAAAACCAAAAGTTTCAGTGAATGTCAAACAGAATAAACATAAGGAGATCCGCACCTAGACACATCATTATCAAACTGCTGAAGACAGAGAAACAATCTTGAGAATAGCAAAAGAGAACTGTCCTGCCAGGTATGGAGGTACATGCCAGGTATGGAGGTACATGCCTGTAATCTCAGCTACCCAGGAGGCTGAGGGAGGAGGTTCAACAGCTCAAGGCTAGTGATGGCAATTTAGGAAGACCCTGTCTGAAAATAAAATTTTTAAAAGGAAGCAGCAAGAGATAGCACTAGCCTAGCATGCATAAGGCCCTGGGTTCAATCCCCAGGACTACACAAAAAAAAAAAAAAAATCCCACAGAAAGGATCTTCAATAAGGACAAAGATGACAGCTGACTTCACATCAGAAATCACAAAAGCCAAAAGGTGTCCACAAGATGATATATTCCAAGTGTTGAAAGTATATTGAGCAAGAATTTTCTTTTTCTTTTTATACTGCTACTGATGGAACTCAGGGCCTTGCACATGCTGGGCAAGCACTCTACTGCTATGAGTCCCCCCCTGCAAAGCTCAACCAAAAATTTTATGTAATGCCAAATTATGCTCCAAAAACTAAAGAAATAGAGAAAGCCAGACATGATGGCACACTCCTGTAACCCCAACAATCAGGAGTCTGAGACAGGAGGATCACAAGTTTGAGGCCAGTGTGGACTACATAGTGAGACCTCATATCCAAAGAAGAAGAAAGAATGGAAAGAAGGAAAAAAGGAAGGAAGGGAGGGAGGAAGGTAGGAACAAAAGAAGGGAGGGAAGAGGTGAGAAGAACAACAACTAAGGAAATAAGATAAATGAAAGAAAAAAACTTAAACTTAAAACTTCCTCAAAATGAAAAATTTGTGGAACAGTTCTTTTTGCTGGGGATCAAAGTGCTCTACCACTGAGCTACATCCCCAGCCAAAGACATTTTCAGGAAATTGAAGCCAGGTGCCAACGGCTCACACCTGTAATCCTAGCTAATCAGGAGGCAGAGATCAGGAGGATTTTGGTTCAAAGTCAGCCCAGGCAAACAGTTCAAAAGATCCTATCTGGAAAAAAAAAAAAATCACACAAAAAAAAAAGGATTGGGGGGGTGGCTGGTGTAGTGGCTCAAGGTAGGGCCTTAGTTTAAACTCTAGTATGTATATATATATATATATATATATATATATATATAAATGCCCAATACCCAACACAAAGCATGTCTGTGGCTCAAGTGGTAGAGCACCTGCCTAGCAAGTGTGAGGCCCTGAGCTCAAATCCCAGTACCACCAAAAAAAAAAAAAAGGTGAAAAAACAACGTAGAAGAAAATATTTGCAAAGCATACATCTGCTAAGTGTCAGTATCCATAATTATACAAAGAACCTTTAGGGGTTGGGGATGTAGTACAGTGGTAGAGTAGGCCATGCCTACACAGGATTTGATCCTCACTTCAATTCCCAGTACCAGGTGAATGAGTTGTTTACAACTCAATTAAGACAACAACCCAATTTAAGAAACAGATGAAAGGCTCAAATATACATTTCTCCAAAGTTCCACACATTGGTAACAAGCACTAGAAAAGACCTCATCTCATCAGACATCAGGAAAGTCAAACAAAGCACCGAGTCACCACTGGACTCCAGCAAGCACGGATATAATGTGTGTGGCTTTTACCTTTTTTGAGACAGGGTCTTGTGTTACCCAGACTGGTCTCCAACTGAGCATAAGTGGTCCTCCTGCCTCAGCCTCCCCTGAGCAGCTGGGGACCACAGCACCTATTTCTTTTTTGTATTTTAAAAAAATAAGGGGCTAGTGGTATGGCTCAAGTGGTAGAGCACCTGCCTAGCAAGTGCAAGACCAAGTTCAACCCTCAGTACACCCCCCCCAAAAAAGAAAGAAAAACATAAAAGAAGTGTTAGCCAGGATATGAAGAAGTGGAAACTTTGTACATTGCTGGTGGTAATGTGAAATGACCCAGCAACTATGGAGAACAGTTTGGCTGTTCCTCAAAATATTAAACAGAGCCTCACACCTGTAATCCTAGCTACTCAGGAGGCAGAGATCATGAGGACTGAGATTCAAGGCCAGCCCCTATCTCGAAAATATCCAACACAAAAAAGGGATGGTAGAGTGGCTCAACTGGTAGAGCGCCTGCCTAGCAAGTGTAAGGCCCTGAGTTCAAACCCCAGTACTGCCAAAAGAAAAAAAAAGGTAAACAAATAATTATTATATAATTTTGTAATTCCACCCCCCTATATATACCCAAAGAATTGGTGAAAACAGGCACTGAATTTTGTACAATTAATACACAATGATAAAAAATTGGAAAAAAGCCAAACAAATATTTATATGTGAACATTCACAGCAGCACTATTCAACTAGCCAAAAGGTAGAAATAATCCAACAAAAGGTAGAAATAATCCAACATCTATCAACAGATTAATGGACTAACAAATTTTGGATATATAAATTCTGAGGAATGCTATTCAGTTATTAAAAGAGAATAAAGTACTAACACAGGCTATAATGTCTTGAAAACATTATGGTAAGTCAAAGATGCCAAACAAAAAAGGCCACATGATATGATTCCATTTATATAAAATTCCCAGAATAAGTAAATACAGGGTGGGGGGGAGCAAATGCTTACTGAGTACAAGGTTTTATTTGGGGATGATGAAAACGTGTTGGAACTGACAGAGGTGTTGGTTGTATAACATTGTAAATGTGTAAAATACCACTGAAAAGAATGGATACAAGAGGTGACTATGATCCATGTACGTTATGTTCGTGTATAAAAATGTCATAATGAAATGCATTATTTTATACAATTTTAATATGCTTAAAAGTGGAAATGCACCATATTAATTGCTTAGAGAACTGTAACATCTTTATCAGTTATGTGACACATTTTATATTTGTTTAAATAAAATGAATTACTTTTCAAAAACTGTAAAAAATCTGAAAACAAATAAACCACTGCCAACCTACTTATGAGAATGGTAAAATTATATCAACAAGTTGTACAAATATTATGAAATAAAAATGAAAAAGTAAAAAAAAAAAACCCATTGAATTGTTTACCCTAAATGATTAACTTTACATTATGTGAATTTCTTTTCAAATTTGTTGCTAGTAGACTAGAAATGCTAAAGATCTTCAGACTGAAATGAAAAGACCACAGACAGTAACTTGAATCCATGTGATGAAGTAACACCAATAAAAGTAACTAGATGGTAAATGTAAAAGTCAATAGCAATGTGTTTCAATTTTTCAGTTAGATTTAAAAGACAAATATGTGAAACAATATTATAAATCTACAATATATAAAGATGTAATCTATGACATTATACAAGGCGGAAACTACCTGGGGACAATTTCAGTTAACTGATATTAATCCAAAGGAGATTGTTACAAATTAAGATGTAAATTGTAATCACCAGAGTAGTCACTAGGAAAAAAAAAAACACCTTAAAAATATACAGACGTATACAGTTACAACAGAGAGAAATCAGTCATAAAAGAATGCAGTGCCAGGCACAGGTGGCTCATGCCTGTAATTCTAGCTACTTGGGAGGCTGAGATCAGAAGGATCACGGTTCTTGAGAACCCCTATCTCCTCCAAAATAAACAGAGAAAAACGGACTGGAGGTGTGGCTCAAGCAGTAGAGCAACTGTTTTGCAAGTGCAAAGCCCTGAGTTCAAACACCAGTCCCACCAAAAAGACACACACACACACAAAAAGACCATATAAAGAACAAAAAAATCATGTGATCATCTGAAATGATGCTTTTGACAAAATGCAATACCCTTTTATGCTAAAGCCACTCAACAAACTAGGGTTACTTCCTCAACCCAATGCAAAGCATCTATGAAATCCCCACAGTAACATTGTGGGAATGATGAAAACTTTTACATATTTTCTTCCTAAAATCAAGAAGAATACAATGTCTACTTTCACCACTCCTACTCAACATTATGCAAAAAGTGATAGCCTGGGCACTTAGGCAAGGAAAAAAAAAGATTCAGGTTGGAAGGAAGAAGTAAAACCATCCATATTCATACATGACATGATCTTATGTGTAGAATATCCTGAAGAATCCACAAAATAAACAGCTAACATTCATCAAGGTTGTGGGACAAGCCAGGTGCTGATGGCTCATGGCTGTAATCCTAGCTACTCCATTTATTAATGGCAAGATGAAAGAAAGCTGTAATGTGCGCAGAGTGGCTCAAGTGGCAGAATGCCTACCCAGTAGGTGCCAAGTCCTGAGTTCAAACCCCAGTGCCACCAAAAAGTAAAAAGGAGGCCCAGAAACAACTATCTCCCACACTTCTGTGTTGGGATGGGAAAACACTGCAGGATACAATTTACTAATTCATTGCTGCTATCCTTCCAATTACTTATCAAATATGCAGTAAGCATTAATGTAAGCTTGGTGCAGAGCGGGGGGACTTATTATATCCCCTGCACCTAGCAGGATAGCTGAACCAAGGCAGGGATCAATACTTACTGTGTCATTGGAGGTCTAACATAGAACTATGCCTTGAACTGATATAGACAAGGAAAAATGAGGGGCAGAACCCATCCAGTAGAATTCATTTTTCTGTACCTCCACCGTTGCTCCCTTCTTTATATCAATCACGAATAAAGTAGAGTTGGAGAAAATGCAGGAGGAAAAACTAAATAAATACAGCAATGCACTTCGGAAAGGGGAAAAATGTAAAGAGAAATAAGCTACTTTGAGCCTGGACGGTTGCAACAATTGTGAACTTGGTCTTGGCTCTTTCCTCACTTCTAATAACTTCTATTGTTTCAAATAGAAACATGCACAGACCTATGCCAAAAAAAACTTCATGCACCATAAACATACATTCATTCATTCATCTCATCGGCATCCCTCATCCCCACTCTACCAGGCGTTTCTGCAGGACTTTGGGGGCGCAGCTGATCTGCAGTGCGCAGCTCGATCCTGGCACTCTTCCCAGGCCCCTGGCTGTGACATCGAGGTCCCCATCACGCCGGCTCTCTCGTCCCCTCTGTCCTCGCCACCTCGTGCCCTGTTCCCGAGCACATTGCCATTCATTCAGAGCCCTGACTCTGGATTGGCCGGTGCAAAGCAGGACACGGCAGGACCCCGGGGGTCCTCCCAGGCGTGGATCGCACACTCCACAGCCTCTCGCAACCCCGAGGCACTCACTCTGCGTCAGTGCCTCGGTCCCCGCCCTCCGGGAGAGGGTGGCACCGCCGGCGGTGCAGGGGGCGCTGAGGCAAGAGCGGAGGAAGTGCCCCCATGCCCGCAGCGCCCGCGCCTCGTGGGACCGGAACTGGATGGCTGCCAGGCTCCCGCCGAGCACCCCTCCTCCGAAGCCCAGCCGATCCCACCTTTACGCTCGGCATCGCTGTCCGCGTCGCTCCCGAAGAGATCTTCCATATCCGCCATTGCCGCTCACGTCCGCTGCTGCCTCAGCTGGGGCGGCTCCGCACCGGGCTTTACGGCACAGAACCCACGAAGCGCGACAGAGTCGCAAAGACTCACTCGACGCACTCCTTTCCTTCTGTGAGCTAGATTTCGCGTCCGCCCGGTTGGCAAGCTCCGCCCCTTTCGTCAATTTCTTTTCTTGCGGGCCGGACAGAGCGCGGCTTCTCAGTTCTGGACGCCCCTGGAGTCGGCGGTAATTGGGGCGCTCAGGTGAGAGGCCTCGGACTGGGTTCCACCTGTCACTCAGGCGGACCTGAAGCGCTCGCTTATGTGCTGACCAGCGGAGGCTCAAATTTGCGGGTCTCAGAATTCCTTGAACCTCTTAAAAGTTCAGGACCCCAAAGACGTTTTTGTTTACGTGGGTTATGGCTATATTAGGAATTGAAGATATTTTTAATTTTTTTCTTAAATAAGAGACATGTTAATAGTCTTTTAGCTTTAAATGACTTTTTCTGAAACGAGAGAAAGAGAGAACTGAATACTCATACCTGCTTTTACATTGAATCTGTGGGTAAATGTTTTGGCTGAAGCACGTGAAGAAAATCTGGCATCACACAAACGTGTGCAATTGGAAAAAGGACGGCTTTCTGGGATTCCGAAGCCAGGCTACTTCGACCACTTTTTGACCACTGCAGTGTAACAACAGTGTTTCTAAAACATCCTAACTCACTATATAGACACTTTATGTATACACACTTTATAAAGTTGATACAAATGTTTCACAAAACATTACTTCCCTTAGTACTGAAATGCACGCCGAGATTTCCTATTCTCATATTTGATTCTAATTTGTTTTTGTTTTTAAATGCTGGCAGGTGGGTCATAGTGGCGCATGCCAGTATTCAAGGAGGTGAACAGGATGAGGCAGGAGGATCACAAGTTCCAGGCCAGCCTGGGCTAGGGCTGGAAACGTGGCTCAAGTGGTAGAGTGCCTGCTTTGCAAGCATGAAGCCCTGAGTTTAAATATCAGTCCAACCATAAATAAATAAATAAATGCTGGCAGGCAGCGCAACCCACTGTACTGATTTCATGATTTACTAATGGATTGAAAGCTATGTCTGGAAAAACAATTCAGAGGGTTCTGTTGGTTTTTTTTTTTTTTCTTTAGCAAGAAAAAATTTGATTTTGCTAGCAAGCATTGCTACAGTTGTACATTGTAAAGTCCAAAGAAATGAAGTGCTCTGCACAGGTTCAAGATCCAGATCTCTTTAGGAAACTTCATTAAATTTAGTATTAAAATATGTAATTTGGAGTCTGGGGTGTAGTTCAGTGGTAGGTATTTCCTTACTATGTGTGAAGCCCTGGATTCCATCCCCATCATGGCAAAAGAAAAAAAAAAAGTACATCTTGTGCTAAATTATTACTGTAGGCCAGTATGAATGGTCTTATACAAGCAACATTGAATTTTTTTTGGGATTTTTTTGGATATTTTGTGATATATAATTATTATTACATATACATGTAGCACTGGGGTTTGAGCTCAGGGTCTTATATTTGCAAGCACTCTACCACTTTTTGCATTACATTCTTTTTCTTTTTTGATTGGGTTGGTGTTAGAACTCAGGGCTTTGCACTTGCAAAGCAGGCTGTCTATGGCCATACCTCCAGTCCATTTTGGTCTGCTTATTTTTTGGAGATGGAGTCTTCGAAAGTAGCTAGGGTTACAGGCGTGAGCCACTGGTGCCTAGGCTGGGTTTTTGGTTGTTGTTGTTGTTTTTTGCCTGGGTCCTCCTGGAATGCAATCCACCTACCTAAGGCCTCCCATGTAGCTGATATCTCAGGCCCTGACCACCAAACTGGCTTACTTGTTCAGAAGGAATTTTGTTAACTTTTTGCCCAGGTTTGCCTCAAACCATGATCCTCCTGATCTCCACCTCCAGAATAGCTGGGATTAGAGATGTGAGCCACCACACCCTATGACAAATGTATTTTTCATTGCCTGACAGGTGTGTGGGGGGGTTGAAAATGAAATTGAATAGTATAAAACAAAGAACTTGTGGCTCTCCGGTGGCTTTTCTGACTTGGTATTTGCTATGCCTTATGCCTTATGCCCTAGTTATCATCAACTGTCTCTAGGCAGGAGTTAACTCACAGCCTGACTTTCTGCTAAGTCAATCACAGTCTCACCATCACTTTCCAGTATTTCCTGATTGTGGTTATACCCAGGTTACTTCAATTGAAGGTTAGAGCAGCACTAAAACATCACCATTTACTCCCACAGCTAGAGAATTTCATTCATACTAGTTTGTGTTTGACTAATTTAACCTTGATTCTCAGAACATTGACTTATGAGACACTGCAATAGCCCCAAACAGCAAAGTTTCAACTAGGTTAATTAACACAATGTAAAGAGGTTATCATTGCAAACGTTTTTGAGTTTTTTGGTGGTACTAGGGGTTTGAACCCAGAACCTCCAGCTTGATAAGCAGATGCTCTACCACTTGAACTATTCCCCCAGTCCTTTTTGCTGTGGTTATTTTTCTGCTAGGTTCTTGAGTTTTTGCCAGGCGGACCTGGACCACAGTCCTTCTATCTGTACCTCCCACGTATCTGAGATGACAGGCCCACCACACCCAGCTTTATTGTTTGAGATGGGGGTCTCTTGAACTTTTTGCCTATGTTAGCCCCAAACCTTGACCCTCCCAATCTCTGCCTCCTGAGTAGCTCAGATTACAGGCAAGCCACTTTGCCCAACGTTTTTATTTTTTTGAGACAGGGTCTCCAAATGTAGTACAAGTTGGTCTGGAACCCACTGTGTAGATCAGGCTGGCCTTGAACTCAGGATCCTCCTACCTCAGCCTCCCAAGTCATTACAAATTTTTAGAAGGTAACAAAAACTTTAAAGATTTATAAAATACATACTTATACCAAGTTACAAAAAGGAAATGTGTGTATTGTAATTTGTATAACATCTTGAATGACTTTGGGGTAAAACAGCAGCTTGATTAAACAGAATATATTAACTGAGAGCTACTCCCTGGACAGTCTACTGCCACTGCACAGGAGGATCATGTGGCTTTCCTGAGAACCTGGGGAAGGAGTTGGCTCTAGAAGGGAACAGGCTGATCTGAACCAGAGGAAGGGAAGAACCCTCAGTGATAATAGCAAACACGGTTCCTTCATATGAATGAGTTTGGGGAAAACTTAACTAATATTCTAAAACATCTGAAGATTTGCAGTTGTTTAAAAAGGACTAACGTACAGGCCACCAAAAATAAATAAATAAAAAGGACTGAACCCAAAGGCCTCCCCCTTGGACCCCTTGGACCACACCCTTAGCCCTCAGTGTTAAACTGTGCAGGCGCCGAAGAAATGAAAACCAGACAATGATCAGCCAGTTATCTGTGGCTCACACCTGTCATCCCAGTGACTTGGAAGGCCAAAATCAAGAGGATCGCAGTTCCAGGCCGGCCAGGCCTGTGGTGGCCTGTGCCTGTCATCCCAGCAACTGCGGGAAGCATAAATAGGATTGTGTTCCAGGCCAGTTGGGGCAAAAAGCAAGCCCCATCTCTAAAAGAAATTAGATGGTATGAGTTCAAACCCCAGTTCTGTGGCAGGAAGGCAGGGAGGGGGAAGAGAGAGTACTACAGTAAAACAAAGGAAAAACCAGAGTTGGGGAATGTTACCTGGAGACCAGAGGAGGGTCACCTCACCCTAGAGGTTAAAACAGTCAATGAAATAACATCGGATTATGTATGGGACAAGCTGTACACCCCCCCCCCATTTCTGTAACCTGCTCTAAATGGTATGTAAGGAAAGCCCACTTTGTTCTCAGGGCTCAGCCTTTGGGCATGAGTCTGCTGAGTCGCTGTCGGCCTGCTTAATAAACTTGTTTCCCAAAAGCTTTGGTGCCCTCTCTGTCTCTGTCTGAGCCCTCCTGCAACATTTCAGCAAAAGAAAGAGACAGAAAATGATCAAGGATTGGGGTGTGGCTCAAGTGGTAGAATGCCTGCAAGGCCCAGTACTGCTTGTGTGTGTGTGTGTGTGTGTGTGTGTGTGTGTGTGTGTGTGTGAGAGAGAGAGAGAGAAGAGAGAGAGAGAGAGAGAGAGAGAGATTAGTCAGGGTTTCTTAGGCCATTTCAAGCTAGATTAATGAAGTAATGGGGAGGGACCTCAATAACTGACACAGAAAATTGAGCAGTCCTTAAAATTCAACCCAGCAAGGCTTCAAGTAGTTTATCAAGTCTATTCCCTGATTTACATGAAATTTCAGAGCACTGGGGATTAAAAAGAACATTCTAAAAGCTTCTAGAAAGAAAAGTCAGCTGATGTATGGACCTGGAATTAAAATGACGTTAGACCTCACAATAATTTTGTAATGGAGAAAATCATTTTCCATTTCAAAATTCTGAAAGGAAAATGACCCGTCCTAGAATTCTGTACCATCAAACTCCTTAAGCACAGGGAAGAGGAATGGCATTGAGGGAAAGCCAGCCCCTCCATGAGTAGGGCAGGTGCCCGAAGCTGCCATCCAATGAAAATGCCCAACAGAGACCACATGGGAAGACCAGAGGGGGAGGCCCTACAAGCCCAGCTAACCCCATCTGCACTCCACTCCATCCCCAAAAGACCCTGTACAACCTCAGTGCAGACCCCAGGCCACAGGTCCAGCTGAGTGTTTCCCTAGCTGTCTCACTGAAATCACGATGTAGTAAGTGGTGTTATAATATATGCATGGGATGGTTTGTTACACAGCAAGTTGATTTTATTTTTGTTGTTTTTGGTGGTACTGAGGTGTGAATGCAGCACCTCATGCTTGGTAGGCTAGGCAGGCACTCTGCCACCTGAGACACTCCACCAGTGCTTTTTTTGTGATAGATTTTTTTTTCCAGATAGGATCTCATGCACTATTTTCCCAGGATGGCTTTGAGCCTCGATCCTCCTGATTTCTGCCTCCTGAGTAGCTAGAATTACAAATGTGAGCCACCAAGGGCCACCTGGCTCCTCACAAGTTTTATAGCCTATTGAATTGTAGTCCTAACCAAGGAAGAAAAGCTA